CTGCGGACCATCAGGAGTGGAGCCGACATCAGCACGTACCGGCCCTAGAGCCACCATGCTCGCATAGTCCTCGTCCCTCACGAGGACCCCACCATTCCACGCGACAATATAAGCACGACCTGGCTCTGATACCACTTGTCACGGGCATAGAGTCTGGCGCAGCCCACAGCGCCCGTGCGGCGTCCCGGGGTCCCTCTCATCCCCGCGGACAAGCCTTGCTCTCATACGGGACCGGACTGGTTTCGCCCTGCCTTGGGCTCATCAGGGGAGCGGCAATAGCTCCCGACCAGTTGTGCCCTTAGACCCGCCTCTGTCTCCTTCATAGCCAAGCCCCACATGCCCGACTCGGCCAGACCTTAGCGTCTAAGGCAGAACTCCCCTTGACGCTATTGCCTCCCCCATGCCTCACCCGTCCAGCTAGCCAGTCGGTCCGTCCCATTCATTGAGCCTAACACGGTCACGAACAACGGTCCGTGACAAGTGCCACGAGCCGTATTCAAATTGAAAGTTCTACGCAGTTGTGTATGGATTTCATTTTTAAGCTTTGGGTTTATACTTTTATCATTGATGTACGTAATATTGAACTTGTTTGTGGATGTGGTCGTACGTATAGTAGGTTGGTTATTAATTTAATGAAATACTAGTATATATGGTCTGACCATCAATTCCTTCAACCGCCGCCTAAGGCAGCATGTTATATATACTACTGTAGCTAGCTAGTTAGGCCCTTCAATTCTCCCCAAGCCGGATGTGGCGGGTCCCAGTTTTGACGGCAACAAATCAACTCGTGCCACGTTGAATCTCCTTTTGTTCGTAATTGAAAAACGTTGTTGCCGTCAACACATTTCTAGTTCAAACAAATGACTTTTTGTGAATATATATGTGAGAATAATGATATCGTAGTTGCCGTATATATATCCTTTTGAATAATTGTGTTAGTATGTATCAATTCACATTTTTACGTTGCAATGGTGAAAATGACATTTTGTGATATAAAACTACACAAGTACACAATATTTTGTCCAATATCATTGTAGCAACCACCAAGTAAGTCCCAAACTTATGATGTGGTCACCACGTCTGATTTTTTAAGAAATTTGTTATGTGTTTTAGCCGAGCTGCGTGAATGAGAGCCTTAACCGAAGACGGAAAATCGAGATAATGTAACTCGACTTTGCTTACTTATATTCTAGCACAAGCCCTATTTTGTTTAGTCTCAAGACACATGTAGTACAACAATAGCCAATAGTGATTCCGGTGGTAATTGTGACTTTTGGGAGATAAATGTTACTATCAACGAGGCTAGGTTCATGTTTAATCAGACAATAAATTTTTAAGGGGAAGAGGAAAATAAACTTGATGAAGAAATAAAAATGATGGACCACGTTCAACAAAATTAAACAGGACGAGACTAAATTTTTATGGTAGATTCTATGGTACCCCAAATGTATCGTAATTTTGTCCAAATAGACCAATAAGAATGATGCAGTTGAATTATTTAAATCTAAATTAAAAAGCATGTAATGATTTGGACCAATCAAATGTATGGTAGGTACGGTACTCCGTTTTTTAAATGAGTACCAGAATTGTTACTAATTTTTATTGGTACAATCGTCGAAAACTACCCGTGACATTATCTACAAGTTAAATTGACTCGAACAAATAAGGGGCAACTATGTTTTACAGTTTTACACAAAAGTGACTAAATCATTAGCTAAAAACGTGAGCTGCATATACTTGTATGCGATGTTGTTCGCACTTCGCATAGTGACCCTGCCATATGTGTTACAGAAGTAGTACAGTATTATATTAACATTTTCTTATTACGTATTGAATTTTGCCATTCTCAAATGGCTTTTCCAAAATGTCTAACAATCTAAATAGATCAAGAAATTTCTAAGTAAGCACTAGTACTAAAAATGTCTTCCAGTGCACGATTCATATCCAAAACATGATTAAAAGTAAAGAGATACCTTTTTTCATCGATTTCTTTGATGGATACCCCCATACCAGGGCGTCAGGCTGAAGTCATCGCATCCTGAAGCGCCTGCAAATTAACCCTCCGATCGGAAATCACCGTCCTGACCACCGGGAAACCAATCTGTTCATCGTTCACTTCCTCCTCACCAACTTCTTCTGTATCAAAATCGAGTTCGTTATCTGCCTCCCCAATAGCCATCTTCTTATAGTTGTTAACAATTTCGTCCATCTGTGATCCTTTGTAAGCCCTCTTGCCGTTACTCTATCCCAGCCGAAAACGAAGTAATCGACCAGAATAAACCCCACCTTCGATCAACTCGAACGAAAACGAAAAGACGTAGCCAAGAAACAAGAAACTACGACCGAACTTTGATCTCCTCGATCGAATCCGGAGAAAACAGCCCAGCGGCGTGCTATCGCAGCCCTAGGAAAAACCGTTTTTACATTAAATTAAGCTAATGGAGGGGTGAGGAAATTGACTTACAAAAGTGTTATGATTGTTGTTCAGCAAATAATAATCATCATAGTAAAAATAAGAACACACATTATCTCTATTATTAGAAGTAAAAACATGAATATAATATTTTCAAATTTTGTACAAAATGATATATTCATATTTATTGTCTTTACTTTCAAATACATTTTTAAAATGGTTAAAATTTGTATATTTTAGAACAATTATTTTATTTTTCATGTTTTTCGAGTATTATCAATACTAATTTATGATTGAAAATTACATTCTCCTTAAAAATTTTATTTTGATATATCCAAATTCTATGTTTTTATTTTAGTCAATGTTGACCGGGTTAATTAACCGTTAACCGGGTTGACCATCCGGGTCCGGGTTGACCCTTGACCCGATCATCGCTCCGGGTCACCTTCCGGTCCGGTTTTTACAACATACCTTTTTTCATCATTGTTTTTAGATATGCCATTTTTATTTTCTTACTCCTATTTGATTTCAGGTATGAGTTAAATTTGGCAAAACATTAACCTCGTAACACAAACGAATCAATTAACCTCAATTCAAGCTCGACGGCGTCACCAATCACCAGGTCCACCATGTACACCTATGTAAAGAGTATCTAGCTAGCCCAGGATCTACGTGAGCATATCTACGCATGTGCCAATTTTCTCTGTAGGATATGAACAGAATCACTTTAGCGGTGAGGCTACCTATTTAGTAGCCTTCATCAGTTTAGAGACTCAAATCATAACTATTTTAGAACTATCTATACAATGATCGAATTTCATGGCTGAATATTCTTTTAACGGGTCCAAGTTTTGTACGAATATCTAAGCTAATACTCAAACAAATGTAAGTTGGATATAGGCTAAAGGGTCAAATAAGCCCTTGAACAGATTTAAAGTGTTTAATTAGCCCCTTAATAGGAGGTTCTGGGGTTCTGTCTGGCCGTTGCCAATTGGGGCGGTTCCCGGGAGAATTTTTTGATGAATTTTTTGAGCATCTTCTTATTAAGTATAGCTTACTCATGTCAAATTTCAGATAATAATTCAACCGAGAAGGCAATCAAATGATTTTTTGAAGATAACTGCGAAGTGAAACAATGCAGTACATTTCGGAAAATCATTTGACTGCCTTCCCAGTTGAATTTTTATCTGAAATTTGGTATGTGTAAACTAGACTTATAATGAAGAAGATGCTCAAAAACTTTCATCAAAAAATTCCACCGGGAACCGCCTCAATTAGCGACGACCGAGCAGAACCTCGTATATATATATAAGGGGATAATTGAACATTTTAAGTCAGTTCAAGGGCCTATTTGACCCTTTAGCCTTAAATTTAAGAGGACTATTTAACAAAGAATCTGAGCTTCTCACTTCTTTCCCACGTACTATATGGTCTTATGTTTTTTTAATGGTCTCATGTTTCTTTTTACGGAGTATCATTCATCCCATATACTCCGTATTAGAACATATATATAGGAGTTTCTTTCTTATATACTCCTGCACGGGTAACTCAGTTGGTCGAGTAGTGGTGGGAAATTTGGATCTATGCACCAAGGTTCGAATTCCCGCAGCGACCGGGGGAGGTTACAGAACCTGAAATAAGGCCGGACCTCTGATGCGCACTTTCCTTTTTTGGATGTAACATTTATATATTCCCATTTCTAAATCTTCTCATAATACCCTCAATAATTTAAAAAAATAATACACTATTACACCTATTTTTTAGATTCATCCTTCATTTTATCACATTATTTCAATCACTATCTTCTCATCATATCATCAATAATTTATATCTCCTTTCACTATTCTTAATTTCACATTCTCACCCATTTTTGAAGTAGGAAGATATATGTGATACGAGTACTCCATAAGTATTGTGACCCTTGATCATTTTTTCAATAATACCGAGTATACCCAACTTTGATTTTAGAACAGATATTATTATAAAAGAGAACGTTTCCAAATTCGAATTAGGTGACGAAGTATTAAAAAAACATTCCAACAGCACGTATAGTACTCCCTCCGTCCCTAATCTTTCTCCCATTTGGGTTGGGCACATTTATTAAGATAGTGGGATTTGTGTGGTGGAGAGTTGTGCAGAGGAGAGAGAAATGTGTAAGAATGTGTAAGAATGGTTGTTAACCACAAATTCTTTACTAAAAAGGGAAAGAGGAGATAATTTTGGGACGGACGAAAAAGGAAAGTTTGAAGATAATTCAGGGACGGAGGTAGTAGTAATTAAGGTACTGCGTATTATTAATAGTACGTTTATGAAGTCGTGGCTAGGTAGGGTAGGAACGTACAGCTTGACCGATTTGATGCCTTTTATGTGGCTAATCTAATCAGAGTCACTGTGTTCTTCAAATGGTTCGACGAAGCTCCTTTGACCACACGTGCATGACACAAGTAGACAGCTGACGTTTAGTACGGTGGCGACAGATGTTTCAAATTCAACTTTGAAATTGGAACTCTAATTCATTATTGAACTTCCAATATCCTACACGACATAAAAGAATATGTCAGATACAATATTTAGTACTCCTATATTATACAACTCGATACAGCTTGTTAGCTGAACTCATCGGTATACTTACGGTTTTTTTTTTTTTCACATTCTCTCGTATACGTAGTACTAGTATATTTTATTGTCTAGATTCTAGTCAAAAGAGGCAATATCATCATAGCATAGGTAGAATTTCGTATAGCTAATTAACTTCAATGACGAAGTTGAAAAATCATTCTATACATACACAAGAATTCAATTCCTAACAAGAATCTTCCTCCATCATCCATCTACAAGCAGGGGCGGATGTAGTAAGGCTGGAGGGGGGGCAGCTGCCCCCAATAAAGGCCCACTAACCCCTTCTAATTTTTTAGTAAATATTAAAAGCCCAACTATTTGCCCCCAATTAAAAAAATGACTTGCCCCCAATAACCCAAGATCTTCCAGCCCACCCCACTGATGAAAAGAGAACAACGGAAGAAGTAAACGTGCCGCCAAACTCTCTTGTGTGCAGAAGGCTAGACGATTGGGAAAAATCGGCCATTCAGCGAGTCAACGACTGAGCATCTGAGCCTGATTCCAACTCTTCATTCTCCATTTCTCCGACCTGGCGACCTCCGTTGCTCCGTGAGTTCGTTCTCTATTTCTCCAAGCGGAAAGAGTAAAGAGCAGAAGAGGTAAGCCTTTTCACTTGATTGATTGGCTATTTGTTTTAATTGATTTCAACTTTTTCACTTTATTTTTTCATCTTTTATCAATGACAGAAGTTAGATTTGGAGTGTTGCCCACTTTCCGTATTATGTATTTGTGTAGTTCAATTTTTAGTTTTTATATTAAATACTGTTTTTCGTATTTAACTAATTTATTTAAATACTGAAATTGTTATACATTTATTAGTGTAATAATTTATAATTATATTATATTACTATTAGAAAGCTGAAAGTAGAAACCCTAAATGTAAATTATACACGGAGTATTATTTTAGGTAGTTAAATAAAAATATAATGTATTAATGTATTAAAACAATTAGTTTTAATTTAACTTTTTTTCCAGACACAATGAAGAGATATTGGGCTACCGTTCCTTCACCGGGTAGTTCAAATAATAATGCTTCAAATATTGTATCTCAAAGTTCTTCATCAATACCTAAACAAGTTGATCTGGATGAGCTTCCCTCAGATCCCGCAAAAAGAAGGAAAATTTCAGAGTACCATCCTAATCAAAGAGATGAAATCAGGAGAAAATATTTGATTAAAGGACCTTGTCAACCACGTGGTCATGATTTCCCACAAAAAGAGATTGGGAAGACTTTAAGACGCTTTAACTCTAAATGGTTTGATCAATATCCTAATTGGTTAGAATATAGTATACAAGATGACACAGCCTTTTGTTTGCCTTGTTACTTGTTTAAAGATCACTTTGAGAATCGTGCTGGGAATGATGCATTTGTAACCGAAGGATTCTCAAGTTGGAAGGTCTTGGAATTTTGTGAGAAGCATGAAATTTCTATGCTTAATATGGATGAGGACTTTGTTAACCCAAGGAGGCCACGTCAAAGAACTAATATCACTAACCGGCATCATTATGAGTATGAATGTTTTAATAGCATAATGGATTTGCAAATTAATGAATTTGATGACCGCTTCAATGAGGTAAATTCTGAACTACTTCTTTGCATGGCTTCTTTGAGTCCGATTGATTCCTTTCGTGAGTTTGATGCTTCAAAGTTGTTGAGATTGGCTGAATTTTATCCAAGTGACTTCAGTTGTGTGGAACACAGAATTCTTGAGCATCAAGTCAGTATTTATATTGACAATGTGTTAGCAGATGAAAGGTTTGCTAGATTGAAAAGTCTTAGTGATCTTGCTCGAGTGATGGTGGATACAAGGAAACATCTTTCACATCCTTTGGTGTATAAGCTTTTAAAGCTAGCATTGACTTTGCCAGTTGCCACAGCAACCGTAGAGAGATGTTTTTCCGCTATGAAAATAGTGAAGACTAACTTGCGTAATAGAATTGGCGATAAGTATTTGAGTGATTGTCTTATTTGTTTTATTGAAAGAGATGTGTTTGAAACTGTTACAAATGAAACTGTAATGGATCTCTTCCAAAAGATGAAAACTCGACGCGAACAATTGTGATGTATTTGGTAAGACTTTAATTATTGTAACATTACATTAATACTTTATTATTATTATTATTATTATTATTATTATTATGATGCATTTTTTTCTGCCCCCAATAACTTCTAATCCTGGATCCGCCACTGTCTACAAGAATGACAAGGGAATTGTTTTGGTCATATAGATAAATAGACAAGCTTGTAAAAGCTGTTATCATCATATATTAGATAATCATAACACAAACAAGAAGAGTTGTCTAATATCAATGAGAGATATGTGAGATTTTTAGAGTTTTTAATTAAAACTTGTATGTATGTTCTTTCTATTCTTAAAAATAATAGAATTGTTTTTCTCTCATATTACCTTTGTCCTTTTATTCCCAAGAAGTGCTATTGCTCCTATTAGAGTCTGGCTAACCTTTTTGGTATTTTCCCCATTCCCCATACTTTTTCATATAAAACTCTACTATATGAAAACTGTGTTTACTTTTTTGCTCGTAATTGAAATCTGAATATACCGTTATATTCATCTTGTTGAGAGCTAAGGAGATACTCCCTCTGGTCCTTATTAAAGTTCTTAGTTTGACTTCACACATATTAAGAAAATAAATTTGACTTTACTGTGGAGTGCACTGTTTGGAAATGTTTGGACATGTTTGGCACTGTTTTGCACTGTTTTGTTTCCTAAAATGGAAGTGTGAACTTAAATAAGGGACATCTCGAAAAGGAAAGTGAGAACTTTAATAAGGACCGGAGGGAGTAATAGGTCTTTTTCGACGAAACACGGACGCTAGAAGCCGCCCCATACTCTTTGGAGAGTCATAATTCTCTCGGCCACGCGCCTCACGCACTAGCCAGAGGTCGAAAACGGTTCGCGTCATCACTGACATCAACAGAGGGGTCACCAGTTAGCCTTCATGCAATCAACAGCTTGTCACGGCTGCGTCGGCGCCACACGTGCAATTCTTGCATTGTCAGCCGCCACGTCATCCGCTCACTGCCATCTTCCATCCGCGCATAGTCAACTTCCATGTCAACGGCTCGTCAGCACCCAGAGAGCGCCACATCATCGGCCACATCACCGATTTTTCAAAATTATTTAGAAGGTGAAAATGACCATTGATGAGTCAACTTCATCTTATAGAGCTATGATTATGCTCACAGCTACTAAGTACATGCTATGGAAACCTCAAATGAAATATTTCCTTAGCTGATGAGGCGCCTTTTCAATATGAAGCTTAAATGTGGAACTTCTGTTGTCAGACACAATAGTGAGTTTCATTGTCTGATTTTTTTATCCCGGAAGGCAAACCACCGCATCCAGTGGGGCAAATGTCGGGAGACATTTACCGTTATTTATTAAAAAGATTTCAGTACAAAGAGAGGGGGACCGAACCAGAACCTCCCTAGAATACAAAATAAAGGGATAATAAAGCATAAAAAAATTGGGGGGGACTAGACCTTACCCAAAAAAAAATCCAAACACCAAAAAACTAAAAGAGCAAAATAGCCAGTAACTAAATTAGGAAACCATGATATTGAGAAATTCATTCGCGTCCAGGGCAATATATCCGAGGACTGAATTAGGCAAGTGCGCCATCCGATAGAAAATTGTCGAGTTCCGACTTCGAACCATGGACTGAGCAATCTGATGTGCAACCTCGTTGGCTTGCATGTAGCAATGCAAGAAGATCAGAAGATTGAAAAATGATTGGCAAGGTGCAAGATGGGGTTAATGAGATGCGGGTAGGAGGGATTATCTGGGCGTCGCTGAAGGAGGGAGACCGCTGCCAATGAGTCTGATTCAACCTCAAGGTCGTTAAAACCAGCCTCAGTAATCCAGTGAATCGCTACAAAGATGGCCATAATTTTCGCTTCAAGAACCGAACCGGCTTTGAGTGGGAAAGATCCGCAAGAATGAAAGCACCTAATCTGTCTCTCAAATTCGCTCCATGACGTGCACTTTGTCGTGATGTGCACTCAAAATAATAATACAATACAACACTTATACGTAGTATAGCGTAGTAAGGTTCGTATCCACAGGGAAAGGAATACTTTTCTTTTTATAGAACTAGTAACAAAATGGGGGGTTTTAGTTTGATTTGGTTTAATAAATTAAACACGAAGATGAACAAGTTATGTGGTTTAATTAATGAGAAGAAGACTTGGCTTTGCTTTTATCCACTTAATGAAATGTTCGTCGATCCCGGTTATATCTTTAACTATCTTCCTCTCGAATACTCAATCGAGGAGTATATCCAGTTCATCGAGGGTAGTTATTAATAACGAGACGCGTTCATTAATAAAACTTACTACCGAGTCAATATAGAACAAGCGCCGTATATTAACTTGATAGTAGCAATAAGATCAAGATGAAAACGATTGAAATTGATAACCTCAACACAAGCGGTTTATTGGTTTAATCAATATAGTTAATTCCCCTTGGCTTATTAACCATGAGAAGCATGCATTAACAACCCAAGTTTACTACCGTGAAAGGACCGAATTAATAACAAGCGTATTAACCGACCGATTCTAGTAATAATTAATATATGAGACAAAACTAGTTGATCCTTTAAGTAATGTTCAAAATATTAATATGAAATATGAATAGGAATTAATTAATACTCAAGGAAGAATATTAAAGAAGATGAATCCTACTATAGTTAATATCAAGATGTTAACTAATTGTCATTTTAGTAACACTCCCCAATATTAACATAGAGGAAGAAATAGCTATTACTATAACTAATGTCAAGATGTTAACTAATTGTCATCTTAGTAACACTCCCCAACATTGATATAGAAATAGTATTTAAAGAGAGAATTAATATTCAAGGAAGAAGATTAAAGAAAATAACTCACAACTTACAAATTCATTAAGCTTCAAAGTAGCAAAACCAAGATGGAAGAGTTTAGTTCCTCATTTGGAGACTAAACATGATAGAAAATATAAAGAAAACACTAATCTAAACTGAGCTAAAGAGTATATGTGAATTGGTGATTTTATTGTGAAGGAAAGGGGTGTATTTATAGGCTTTTGGGAGCTGCAGGGTCTGATACCCGACCGGGTATATAGGATACCCGACCGGGTATCTCAGGAAATTGCCCAGAAAGTCACTTTTCTGGGCATACCCGATCGGGTAAGGGTATATACCCGATCGGGTATGTGACAAATCTTTATGAAAATTTGCTCCCACGATCATTTGTTCCCGGATTTGATTTGGACAATCGAATCAAGTGAATACCCGATCGGGTATAGGCAATACCCGACCGGGTACATGAGTATTTTTTCCAAATCGAAATCTTTCTTGTCTCCTTGCACTTTCCTTGATCTTTTAAGGTCCAATCTTGATCCCTTGGATGATCTTTGACCTGTTTAGCTCAGAATAATCCTAATCTAAACAAATTACAAATAAAAATGAAAATAAAATATTACACCAAAAGTGTGTAATTTCCACAACTAGAACTAATAAAAACTAGTTAAAAATACAAACATACAATCGGAAATTACATGAATATCAACTCCCCCACACTTAGCTTCTTTACTCGTCCTCGAGTAAAGTCAAATGTTTAACAGTTCCAAGTCCTCAAGAGTTCAACAATCAACAAGAAAAAGAAAAAGACCACCAAGGATAAAACATGAGTTTTACCTTGAATCTTTAGCTCAACGAACAATATCTTCTTGGGTTTCATGGCCTTCTATGCTCATCTCTTTTCTTCTCCTCTTTTCATGTTCAAGAGATTAAATGATGTCTTATAAAAACAAATATATCTCTCATATCTCTCATTTTGCCTAGGAGCCTTTTCAGGTTTTCATCCTAGCATCTTTTTTTTTTTTTTTTCACTCACTCATTTTTTATAAGCCCTTTTTGCTTAGATTGCCCGTTTTTGGGTTTTCAACCTAACTAGCATTTCTTTTATTTTATTTTCTTTTTCTTTTTTATTTTTTTTTTGTTTTTGAAGAAAATAATGCCAGTTACAAGGTATCAAACTTATGTACGTACCAATGAGTGACTCCCCCTCACTTAGCTCGAAGCACTGTCCCTAGTGCTCGTCTCCGTCATACCCGGGCTGAAACAGACATCCTCGTAGCCTTGAATTGTTCCCTTGCATTTGAACTTTCGGCCGTATCCCTCTTCGGTGCCATTGATGCCCTTTTGACGCTTTGAAATTTAGACTTGGTGTTTTTGGGGTAGGGTTTCAGATTTTTGGGGAGGGGGAGAGATGGTGTAATTGGTGGGTACGATGTGGAGAGGAGAGTGAGGGAAGTGTTTGGTAGTGGGTTGAGGGAATTTGGTTGAGTGATGATGGAGATATGGAAGGAAAAGGGTAAAAAAATGGTGGGTTTGGGAGAGAGAAATCGGACATTGGGGTTGGGGGAAGAAGTGGCTTGAATTGGGTCTGATTTGGGGTAACAAGCTCAAGTACCCGATCGGGTGGTTTGAATACCCGACCGGGTATTTCGTTTATTTTTAAAAACTCGTTCCAGGGGTTCGTACCCGATCGGGTGTTGTGGATACTCGATCGGGTGAATCGCGTCGTAGGAAATGATTTTATTTTCATGAATTAGACCCGACCGGGTTATAGGTGTACCCGATCGGGTCTTGACCTTGTTTTCAGTCCCAAGCGCGATCGGGTGTGGGATTTCTTGCCACAACTCTGCCTTTTTCATATGTACCCGATCAGGTGGAGTAGTGGAGCCCGATCGGGTACACTATACTGGGGCGTGATTTTGTCCATTTTTTTTTAAATCTTTTTGGCATGGATCCGATCGGGTAAGTGATGATGACCGATCGGAGGTTTCCCCAACCTTTCAAAAAAAATGATTTACTCCCCCTTTTATTTGAGAAGTGTCCCAATTTTCTCGAAGTTGACATTCAAAAACAAACAAAAAAAACAAAAAAAAAAAAGATGAAAAATGCGTACCTTAGCATGGGTTGCCTCCCAAGAAGCGCCTTAGTTAACGTCGCGGCACGATGCCATCATTGTGTTCAATCGTTCAAGCTTGGATCGTGATAACTCATTTTCTTCAAATTTTCACCCGGATGACT